ATCATCATGCTATTCTACATTTAGCTCTCGGGCAAACTAGCTTTCTTTTTTCAAAAGACGAATGTCAGGACATGTTAAGAAATACTTAGAACTGCATCAGGAAGTCCAAGTCCAACATGGTGTAGAAGTGTGATGCACAGCTTACGTTTACAGCTTTCTACCCCACAGAAGCCTGTGGGTTTATAGATGGGAGACAAGCTCAGCTCACTTAATGTCTAGGGAAGAATCCTCCACCCGTTGAACCTCGCAGCCACCAGACTCTGGGATATGATGTTACACCCCCTGACCTCCCACTCCTGCACCCAACGCACCTGTGGAGACGAGAGGACCAAGGACGAGAGAAGAAGTGGGCCGAGTGCGGGAGGCAGAGACTGCGACAGGCTAACAAAGACACGCGGGACAGCAGGTAAGCAGCTCTACCAACAGAAAGGGGCTTTCAGCACACAAAACAACGCTCACCTCTTTTTGTTTGTTTGTTTAACCATACTAATGACTCTTAATATACAAACGAGTCTTCGGAATTAGCCTCATCCGGACAACTCAGGGGTCGGCAGCTGGCCTCAGAAAGTGCCTGGGCTCTCCCAGCCAAGGGGCTGCTGCAGCAGAAGAGCACCCACGGCCCGGCGTGGGCGGCCCCAGCCTTCGGCCGCTGACTCCTGTCAGATGCCAGGATCTGGGAGAGCACACACTGACGTGCTTTCACAGAGATCGAGCAAGATCCACAGAGAAGCTTACATCTGTCAGCTCCTAATCCCCTGCTGAGTTCATCACATCCCTCTTTTTTTTTTAAACTTTTACTGATACCTGACAAAGAACTTGGTCTGTTGGGGACAAATACAAAGACATGAGGACAACAATGTGTCCTGACCAAGGCTGCCACTAGGTCCAACCTCCCTGGTCCCCAATGAGTGCCTCAGCCAGGTTCCGTAAAATGGAGCCCCCTTTCAAGCCACTAAGGCAGGCGCCTCAGGTGCTCAGTGCCCCCCAGCCCCACCCACCACCGACGGCTAGTCTTTGCCCTGAGCCTTGTGCTGTCAGGAGCTCTGGCTAATGGCTTACTTAGGACATTTGCCACCTGGCTGTGTGACCTCCATTCAAAATACGTGCCCTGATTCCCGTCCACCCCACCTTCAGTATCCAAACTAGAAAGGACATTTAAGGACTTTGACTCATATCCAGAGAAATGTTTTAAGGGTATGAAGGCCCCTGAGAGGGTGAGTCAGCCTGGGGGCATCCCAAGGCGCAGCTCTCCTGCCCTGCTCTAGGATGTCAGTGTTCCTCAAAGGCAACCCAAAAGTCGGTGGCTTCCCAAAGGAGCCACCCGTGGGACCACACCAGGCCCAAAGCAACGTCTTGCTTGGTGCTTCTGGCTAGGGCTCTGGCATTCTTCAGGGAGGGACTCTAAGAAAGGGCAAAAAGGAGGGGCTGGAGCTTCATTCCTTCCCCCCTTAAGAAACATTCCTGAGACTGCAGGGGGCCTACGGACACCCAGCTGGTGCACAGAATGCTCCCTAACGAATCCCCAACAGCCCATTTGAAATTCTAGGCCCTCCAGTAACGTTTTAGAGATCAGGCCCCTCCCCTAACCCCCACTGATGTTTTACGTTTGCTGAATCGATGGAGAAAGGAACATGCAAAAACAGGGGACCGCATACATCCGTTGTATCTGTTTACACGGGGCCCCGGATAACCCACATCGAAATGTGGCCTTGGAAATACCAACAAGTCAAAATCTTTGGGGTTTCTTAGGACACAGACATCACTTCTACTCCCTGTCGGACAGGAGCATGGAAAAACAGCAGCATTGTGTGTTTTGCAGCCCTAGTAAAAGGTCAAGCTAGAAGCCAATGTAAAGGTGCTGATACAAATCTGGGTGCCACCTTTCAGCAGAGGTCTGCTGGGACTTCACACATGCACTTCAAATTCCAAGAATGCCACTCCTAGGAAGTTAAGTATCCCTTTTGACTTCAAAACTAGACCCAAAGAAAAGACTGTCCTTACCCAGCAGCCCCACTGAAGGCTCATAAAACAGCACTCAGGAGTTCCAGCTTCATTTCCTTTCTCCGGCTACAAAAATGCAGATGAAGCAAGTATTTGTTTGAGTTTTACTATGTAAATAAAGCCTATTATCAGGGTCAGCACTTGGGAAGAAAACAGCCCTTCAGGAAAAGCCTTCCAAAAGGCCAGTGTCCTCACAAAGAAAAATTAACTTGAGCTTTAAAAGCTAAAATCCTTTTAAAAACTAAGGTGCTGACACTGTTCATCAAACAAGGGCAATCTGGCCCACAGGTAACATCTGACAGTCTGGAGACTTTTGTTGGCTGTCACAGCTGGAGTGGGGGTACCCCGGGCATCAAGTGAGTGAGGGGGGCCCAGGAATGCTTCTGAACATCCTACAGAGCCCACGACAGCCCCCACCAGAGAGTGATGCAGACCAGCATATCAGTAGTGCCCAAGTTGAAAAATCCTCATCTGATGGATGTGACAAAGTTATTTAATAGAACACTGCACGTGTTTCCAGGCGAACTGAGTAGAGGGGTTAGTGGGGACATTTGGGACCAAGAGCTGGTCCTTGGGGGCCTTCTCATGACCTGCCAGGTTTGTGACCTCAGGGCACGCCATTTAACTTCCCTTTGCCTTAGCTGTTGCATTTATAAAACGGGCTGATAAAATTTCCTGATCTGAAGATCACAGATTCAACCAGCCTTGTTCTTCGCATTCCTTACAGTTCTAAAATGTGCACTCCTATGAGGCTTCCAAATCAGACCCCTATTATCATAAAAAGAGTGTGTCACCTTACACTTGTCCAAGCTACCCCCACATCAGATTCTGTTAAATAGAAAATGAATTGTATAATACCCCAGGAGTCTTATATGTAAAATATTTAATTACAAGTTTTTTTAAAAGAAAAAAAAAAGCCCTATTAGAACAATTATAATTTGGGCCCCAAATAACAACAATTGTTATAATGAGCCCCAAATATTTTTCAGTAGCTACTGAGGCAGAGTCAAAACTTGGATTAATCCAAATTCTGCAGGTGCAACAATTTTTCCCAGCTCCACCACAACAGTGTATTGCCACTCTTTAAGTGATTCTAAATGGACACACTTTCCTCCATCCTTTCCTAATAATGTGACAGTTAATTACCAGCTGTTGGAGTGTAAGCAAGCATAATTGATGACTTAATCCAAGAGAAAAGACACGCATGTGAAATAGCGCCAATACCACGGAGCACGTAGTTAAAAATACACAATACGTGCGCAAGCGTGCACCTCTGTGTGTGTTTACAAGTGTACCTGGAAACTCAGTACGGAAGTCCCAAACTCTCCTGAATCCTTTCTTTTTTTAAAGATTTTATTTATTTATTTGAGAGAGAGAGAGAAAGAGCATGAGTGGGGGTGGGGAGAAGGAGAGGGAGAGGCAGGTTCCCCGCGGAGCACGGAGCCCGATGCCAGGACCCTGGGATCATGACCTGAGCAGAAGGCAGACGCTTAACAGACTGAGCCACCCAGGCGCCCCTCTCCTGAATTCTTTCTATCCTAAGTAAAGAAACCACCAATTTCCAGTCACATTGCAGTATCTATAAAAACTAAGCAGCATTTTAAGGGAGGGATGTATGGGCCTCTCAGAGAAGAACCCCAAACATTTTTATTCCTGCAAAATCCTGAAACAGCATCTGGAAAGGCGGAGTACGAAGACTGGTACTTACCTACCCACAAAAACTTTCAAAAGAAAAACAAAACAAAACAGACCAAAAACACCTTAGCAAGTACTGTGCAAGCTAACCAGCAGGCCAAATCAGGAGCAAAGGGCCTCACATGCCCCAAAAAGGCCCTGGTGTGTATTTCCTGGGTTTTACTGCCCACCTCCCACAGTCTAGACCGGGGCCTCTTGGGCAGAGAGAACAGAAGGCCACTAAGAATACACCAGGATTTTTAGAACCTGGAGTACCCACAGAAAGGAGGAGGTGCTCGGGGATCCCCTTCTCCAGCTTCTGGTTAAACACCTGAATTTGAGTTTAAAATGACCTCCAACTCTCTTATACTGTGTAAAGCCAAAAGGCAACATTTCACCTTAATCAATGTTTTGCAACTTACTCCTTCAATTATAATAACAAGTCTGAGAAAGATACGTTGACTTGTGTGTACACCTCTTTTTTAAAAGAAATACATGAAATGCTAAGGGTGTTAGTAATTTACCTGCTATCTTTTAAACTTTTACCATCAGAAATGCCCTGTAAAACCTTTATTAAAAAGGCATAGGGTTAACACGCTTTTGTACGCATATATGCAGGAAAATACCCTTGGCTGGGCAAGCTGTATACACTTTGCTCACCATCTTTTCAAAGAACCCAGTTCGTTAATGGGTTACACATTAAATTTATAGCAACGACAGCCTCTTTCCCCAGTTGAACATAAATTCAGTGCCTATCTAAACAAGCCTCCTCTCAGAGTTTCTGGTTTTGTGAATACAAAAATGAGAGAAAATACAGAACAGAGAAGTTTGGTGTCTCATTTGCTATCTTGAACAACAAAGCCACACCACTTCCCAAATTCATCACGGGTGGGTTGGCTTAGGAGTGACCTTATACCTTCCTGCTGTGGTGAAGCAGGAAAGTAGGAAAAAACCCAGCAAGTCACCTTCAAACTCTTGTAGTCGCCAAGAATTTTTACATTTTAAAGGGAACTTTGTCCCTAGGAAAAGCCTAACCCAACCCTCCCCACAGAAACGGACACTTTTAACCAGAAGAAAACAGGATGATAGGTTTGTTGTTTTGTGTTTTCACAGGTCTATCCAAGTTCAGCTGATCAATTTCAAGATCGATTGCTGTTTAGAGACAAGAGAATTCAAAGTGTGAAAGCACCCACCTTCCCTTACCATACACACTTAACGCAAAACACATTCCTGATGAGACACATTAGAAACTTATTGGAGCTCAAATCCCACTTTGAAAAAGGACACTGAAAGTTTCGGTACGTGTCTGCAGGTCCCAGAGCGCCATGGATCTAGAGCTGGAAGCCGAAAGTCAGTAAATATTGATGGGCTGATGGGAATCGAGAAGCTGGGCGGGCGACAGCTGCACGTCTGAGTTTCCTAGTGATACGGGGTACAGGTTCAAGGGGTGCAGAACCAAAGGCCTTACAGTGACAAATACAGGTGGGGCAGTTCTGTCCACCCCCTGGCACGTGGGGCTGTTCCTCCCCAACCCCTGGGCAGCCAGCCCCACAGGTGCAGGCCGCCGCTGGCGAAGCCTGGAGTGACAGGGGACCCAGCCAGGCCCCTTCTCGAAGGGAGGAAGGGAGGGGACCCGGAACAGGAGCCATTTAAACCCTGCGCGGCTCTGGGAGTCAGCAGGGCTGGGAGCCAGCAGGGCTGGGAGCCGCCGCAGAGGGGCCGGGACCGCGCACCTTTGCGTGTTCCGGTGCCCCCGTCCCCGCAGGTGACCCAGGCAGACTAGCGCCCCCGAGTTGGGGACACGATTGGGCTGCCCCTCCGGCGCCCCCACCCCCGACGAGAACCCCCGCCCCGCGGCCACCTTTGGGCTGTCACCGTGAGGGTCCCGCGGCCGCCTCACCTTGGTGATGACCAGCGGCTCGCCGTGCTCGCGGCCGCCCTTTAGGGTGAAGCCCCACGGGGCGCC